TTAAATTGAATGACAAAATTTTTGCACTGATAACTCGTAAGTTGTACTTAGATTTTGTCAAAAAAAAAAGGCTACAGAGGACAGCTATTTATTTAGGAGCCTCATGGTACCCCCCTCTGGCTGTCACCTGGGGCGGACCGCCCCCCCCCCTCCTTAGTACGCCACTGCATGTAAATGAGTAAAAATAAATGAAGAAAGTTACTATATATACTGAAAAATTTGTTGAAAAAACATGTACAGTACTTAGATGTACTTAAAGGGACTAAAATTTGTATCATGCAAAATATATGATGTCTATATTCAAATTATTCGCTGTCTTGCAAGGATTCCAGCAATGGAATTAATATTCTGCTAACTTTAGTTTCTGCCATTTTATAAGATAAAAAATTTAAGCCAAAACCACCTTCAATCTTGCTGGAAATGGGGAGGGGGAGGTGATGTATTATGACAGCTGGGCCAGCCCGCTGGCCAACCAAGGTGACCTAGTGTTATTTATTTATCTGTCATGTAGAGGAGCTTTGAGTTTTCTCTTCTAAAATCTCAATGAATGTGACTTATACAAGCACCTCACCATGCATTGCACAAGGAGTTTTGAATTTCTGTATATGTAATGTATTTCACGGGTCAAAGGGAGGCTCAGGAACCTAACTCCTGTATTTTATATATTTCTTAAGGGGAAAATTGATCCTCTTAACGTTGTTTCGTATAACGTCGCGTTTTCAGGAACATAACAACGACGTTAAGCGAGGACTTACTGTAGTATATTATACTATGCAATACTATACTATACTATACTATACTATACTATACTATACTAACAACTAGCTCACTGATCTCTGCATGTTATTAGTCTTTATTACAGGGTGATTCAGCAAAGAGTACATCAAATTGGAGGATGAAATCCGGATAATTCTAAACTACAATGTCTCTATGGTAAAATGTTAGATTCTGCATATTCCCATGTTTGTGACAGGTGCAAGCAAATTAAAACTTAGTCCAGGCATTCTGGAAGCAGCTTCAGACAATCAATGGTATGACAAGTACAGGCCTGCATTGAGGAGAAGGGGCAACATTTTCTTTAGGTTGTAACAAAGAGGGTCACACTGTAGAGATCTCTGAATAAATGATTACAAAAACCTACTGGGGTTTCACTTCAAATTCAGTCTCATTAATATAACATCTTAAATGTATTGTAACATGGAAACTATGCAAAATCTGACATTTTACCATAGAGACATTGTGATTTAGAATTATCCAAGGTTATCATCCTCCAATTTAATGTACTCTTTGCTGAATCACCCTGTATATTCTTTAGACAACTCTAATATTTGATCTATTACAGCTAAAGTCACATGTGTTATACAACTCTAATATTTGATATATTACAGCTATAGTCACATGTGTCATACATACAGTATACAACTCTGATATTTGATATATTACAGCTATAGTCACATGTGTCAACATACATACATACATATACAACTCTAATATTTGATATATTTCAGCTATAGTCACATGTGTCAACATACATACATACAGAATACAACTCTAATATTTGATCTATTACAGCTATAGTCACATGTGTCATATATACGTCCCCATTTGATATATTTCAGCTATAGTCACATGTGTCAACATACATACATACAGTATACAACTCTAATATTTGATATATTACAGCTATAGTCACATGTGTCAACATACATACATACAGTATACAACTCTAATATTTGATATATTACAGCTACAGTCACATGTGTCATACATACAGTATACAACTCTAATATTTGATATATTACGCTACAGTCATATGTGTCAACATACATACAGTATACAACTCTAATATTTGATATATTACAGCTATAGTCACATGTGTCAACATATACATACAGTATACAACTCTAATATTTGATATATTACAGCTACAGTCACATGTGTCATACATACAGTATACAACTCAAATATATTACAGCTATAGTCATGTGTCATACATATACAACTCTAATATTTGATATATTACAGCTATAGTCACATGTGTCAACATACATAGTATACAACTCTAATATTTGATATATTACAGCTACAGTCACATGTGTCATACATACAGTATACAACTCTAATATTTGATATATTACAGCTACAGTCACATGTGTCAACATACATACAGTATACAACTCTAATATTTGATATATTACAGCTCTAGTCACATATGTCATACATACAGTATACAACTTTAATACAGTTGGTCCTCATATTACGGGTTAATGTAACCGAGGGCAATGAGAAACGCAGAAGTGAATAAATAACATAACATATGGGATTAATTGAAATGGAGTCCGGCCGATCCCCAAACTCCACTTTTGGACACACAACTATGTTGTAGTAAAATATTATCTTAACTTTATGATGGCATGCACACACAATTAATAATTAAGAGAAATATCAATAATATAGGGTTTTTAACACTTACATTAGTAGAAAAGATGGCTGGGCACACGGGATGGGCGGTTGGTTCCGAGGCAGAGGGCAGATTATTGGCCCTCACCTGTATCAATTGTATCACTATCCACCACAGAGGCTTGCAGGGCCTCTTTGTCAAACCCCCAAAGTTCATATAAGTCCATATCCTCACTATAATTATCACTATCACTGACTTGGCGGCTGTAGTGGGTGGCGGTGAAGAACTCGTAATGTTTGATGACTGGGACCTTGGAGCACCATTTTCGCGCCTCTTACACAACATGGCGGATGGCGGAGGTTTGATCCAAATTGGCGCGGTTTGCCAGCCACTCTCCGCCAGAATGGGGTTCAAGCATCGCGGAATGTGAAAATGTTAGGTTCGGCAAGGCACCGTCAACGGTGAACGCGAATGCGACCGCGTAATATGAGGACCAACTGTATTTGATATATTACAGATATAGTCACATGTGTCATACATACATACAGTATACAACTCTAATATTTGATATATTACAGCTATAGTCACATGTGTCAACATACATACAGTATACAACTTAATATTTGATATATTACAGCTATAGTCACATGTGTCATACATACATACAGTATACAACTCTAATATTTGATATATTACAGCTATAGTCACATGTGTCATACATACAGTATACAACTCTAATATTTGATATATTACAGCTATAGTCACATATGTCATACATACATACAGTATACAACTCTAATATTTGATCTATTACAGCTATAGTCACATGTGCATACATACATACAGTATACAACTCTTAATATTTGATATATTACAGCTATAGTCACATGTGTCATACATACAGTATACAACTCTAATATTTGATATATTACAGCTATAGTCACATATGTCATACATACACAGTATACAACTCTAATATTTGATCTATTACAGCTATAGTCACATGTCATACATAATAGTATACAACTCTTAATATTTGATATACAGCTATAGTCACATGTGTCATACATACAGTATACAACTCTAATATTTGATATATTACAGCTATAGTCACATATGTCATACATACATACAGTATACAACTCTAATATTTGATCTATTACAATAGTCACATGTGTCATACATACATATGAGTATACAACTCTATATTTGATATATTACAGCTATAGTCACATGTGTCATACATACAGTATACAACTCTAATATTTGATATATTACAGCTATAGTCACATGTGTCATACATACATACAGTATAACCTCTAATATTTGATCTATTACAGCTATAGTTACATGTGTCAACATACATACAGTATACAACTCTTAATATTTGATATATTACAGCTATAGTCACATATGTCATACATATATACAGTATACAACTCATATTTGGATCTATTACAGCTATAGTCACATGTGTCAACATACATACAGTATACAACTCTTAATATTTGATATATTACAGCTATAGTCACATGTGTCATACATATATATACAGTATACAACTCTAATATTTGATCTATTACAGCTATAGTCACATGTGTCATACATACAGTATACAACTCTAATATTTGATCTATTACAGCTATAGTCACATGTGTCAACATACATACAGTATACAACTCTAATATTTGATATATTACAGCTATAGTCACATATGTCATACATATATACAGTATACAACTCTAATATTTGATCTATTACAGCTATAGTCACATGTGTCATACATACAGTATACAACTCTAATATTTGATCTATTACAGCTATAGTCACATGTGTCAACATACATACAGTATACAACTCTAATATTTGATATATTACAGCTATAGTCACATATGTCATACATATATACAGTATACAACTCTAATATTTGATATATTACAGCTATAGTCACATGTGTCAACATACATACAGTATACAACTCTAATATTTGATATATTACAGCTATAGTCACATATGTCATACATACATGCAATATACAACTCTTAATATTTGATATATTACAGATATAGTAACATGTGTCAACATACATACAGTATACAGGGGGTACAACTCTAAAGTGATATTTCTATTAGCTGGAACAATTAGTGTAAAGCTCTTCTGGGAATGGGAAACTTCTGGGTAATGAGGTGACTCTCAAACCAGGTGAAAAAATCCTCCATCCCCGGAAATTTCCGGGTACCAGAACAATTTTCTTGATTGAAATTGGGCTTTACATGATCTTACAGACCCTGAAAAAATACCTCATCCCTGGAATTTGTCCGGTTACCGGAAAATTCTTCTCAGAATTTCCAGAAAAATCCTGATTTTTGTCTGTCAAAATTGGAAAAGGCCCCCATCCCTCTCCCCCTCCCCAGAATTTTTTGGAAATTTCCGGGTATACCAGGAAAAGTTTCTCGGAATTTACCCGAAAATGTTCCCCCGAGTTATTCACAAACCCCAAATTTTCCGGCTAACAGAGATGTTTCTTTTGATATATTGCAGCTATAGTCACTTGTGTTATACATACTTATACAACTCTAATGTTTACAATATGCTTCAGTTTGCTGCAAGTCAGGGTCTCTTCTGGAACAACCCCAAACAAAGTTCCAAGCTCAGTTCGGGTGACAAAATATGTATCACCAGGCAAGGACCCTGCCATTCGCAGTCACACGAGGAGACAACCATCATCGTGTAAAGGCAAACCTGGATACTCCTAATAAGGTGAGACTTGAAAATAGGTCAGTGAAGTGTACAATATGGCTGTGAACTTGCATGCATCTCTTTCTGGTGCTGTAAAGATGTACAGTATACTGTACTGTACTGTGATTATTTTTAGGGTGAAGCCTAACATGTTGACTGCCCTTAAAAAATGTAATAACATTTTTTTAATGTAGACAACTTTTCCCTTTAATAGTGGACTTTAATATAGGATACACTTAGTTCTTAATGTATGAACATGTATGGGTGTAAGTTACACAAGCTTCTTAATGTATGAACATGTATGGGTGTAAGTTACACAAGGTTCTTAATGTATGAACATGTATGGGTGTAAGTTATACAAGGTTCTTAATGTATGAACATGTATGGGTGTAAGTTATACAGGGCTCTTAATGTATGAACATGTATGGGTGTAAGTTACACAAGGTTCTTAATGTATGAACATGTATGGGTGTGTTACACAAGGTTCTTCTGTATGAACATGTATGGGTGTAAGTTATACAGGGCTCTTAATGTATGAACATGTATGGGTGTAAGTTATACAAGGCTCTTAATGTATGAACATGTATGGGTGTAAGTTATACAGGGCTCTTAATGTATGAACATGTATGGGTGTAAGTTACACAAGGTTCTTAATGTATGAACATGTATGGGTGTGTTATACAGGGCTCTTAATGTATGAACATGTATGGGTGTAAGTTACACAAGGTTTTTATGTATGAACATGTATGGGTGTAAGTTACAAGGTTCTCATGTATGAACATGTATGGGTGTAAGTTACAGGGCTCTAATGTATGAACATGTATGGGTGTGTTATACAGGGCTCTTAATGTATGAACATGTATGGGGTAAGTTATACAAGGCTCTAATGTATGAACATGTATGGGTGTAAGTTACACAAGGTTCTTAATGTATGAACATGTAGGGTGTAAGTTACACAAGGTTTTAATGTATGAACATGTATGGGTGTAAGTTACACAAGGTTCTTCTGTATGAACATGTATGGGTGTAAGTTATACAGGGCTCTTAATGTATGAACATGTATGGGTGTAAGTTATACAGGGCTCTTAATGTATGAACATGTATGGGTGTAAGTTATACAGCTCTTAATGTATGAACATGTATGGGTGTAAGTTATACAGGGCTCTTAATGTATGAACATGTATGGGTGTAAGTTATACAGGGCTCTTAATGTATGAACATGTATGGGTGTAAGTTACACAAGGTTCTTAATGTATGAACATGTATGGGTGTAAGTTATACAGGGCTCTTAATGTATGAACATGTATGGGTGTAAGTTACACAAGTTCTTAATGTATGAACCTGTATGGGTGTAAGTTATACAGGCTCTTAATGTATGAACATGTATGGGTGTAAGTTATACAGGTTCTTAATGTATGAACATGTATGGGTGTAAGTTATACAGGGCTCTTAATGTATGAACATGTATGGGTGTAAGTTATACAGGGCTCTTAATGTATGGGTGTAAGTTACACAAGGTTCTTAATGTATGAACATGTATGGGTGTAAGTTATGCAAAGTACACTTCTACAATACAGTATTACAGTTTAGTACTGTACAGCACGTGGGTATAAGTTACACAAGGTTCTAAATGCATGTACAGTGCAGTACAACAATACAGCATAGTTCAGTACTGAACAGTACAATACAGTAATCTACTGTTCTGTACTGTACTCTACTGTACAGTATATGGGTGTAAGTTATAATAAGATCATTGTCTCAGTCTCCTCACAATAGTGTAGTGTCTTGATGGATGTTTGCTCACTACCTTCACAACTTTTGGCAGCTACCGTATTTTATGGCATATAAGACGCAATTTTTGGTCTGAAAAATGGCAAAAAAATCAGCTTGCATCCCATATATGAAGTTGCAGTCTCCCCCAAGCTAATGAATCCCCCCCTGTTGCTGTCTCCAATAACTTAAATTCTACCTAATCCAACTCCAGAATTAAAAATATGTTATATCTTACTTGAACACATTATTATTTTTAATAAATTAAAAAATAATTCTTGTAAATATAAAAGGTTGATCTATAACTATTGTACTCTGTACTGTACCGATGATGATAACCTGATACAATTAACATCCGCACGGCAGACACCAACTCTTCAGAGGTAAGTAAGCGGTAACCATTTCTGAACTCTTGCAAACATTACAGTCTATTAATACCATACCTGCAACATTTATTTTTTAATCTACAAATACAGTACCTGATACAAATGAAGATTTACATTTACATCTGTTAACATTGCTGGCGGCATTGTAACCAGGTTAGACTAGTCGCTGTAACCACCAGGCTACTGGGCCACGCTGTTGTTTTTCAACTCCTATTTTTGGGTAGATATGCGTAGCTTTCTTCATTTATTTTTACTGATACAGTGGTCCCTCGGTTAACGAACACAATTCGCTCCAGAAAGTTGTTCTTTAACTGAAATTTTGTTAACGAAACCATTGTTTCAATGGGATTTTGGGTAATTGGTTCCAGCTCACCGAAAATTACATACAAAGTAAAAATAAATGCAGTAAATTCACTTACTTTGAAGTGTGTATGTAGAAGGCTCCTGTTTGATGATGATGATGATGATTATGATGATGGGAATTAGAAGTGGGGGTGGAGGAGAAGGGAGAAGAGAAGGAAGTGTGGGTGGAAGAGAAAGCCCATGCTTCATGCCGTCATTTCACCCATAAAATTTAAAGTTCACTTGGTGTAATTCAAGATTATTTTCTTTAAATCAACACTGCACTGCACTATATATTGTCAATATGTTAAATAAATTTCAGAATGACCAATAATTGTACTGTAAAAACATAAAAATAGTTTATGTTCAAGAGAGGCACAAGCAAGATGTTACCTCCACTAACCAGAGATACAAACTGACGCCTTGGTGGATGAGTCAAGTGGCTGTTTGGCGCACCAAAAACTAGTTTCCTGTACTGTAATGATGTTAAATAATTGTTAAAATTACTAAAATTTAATATAAAACTTGGAAAATTATTGAATAGTACAACCTTCTTGATATTTATTCAAATGGGAACGAATTTAAGCCCTAGAACTGATTACTGTATTGCTGGACTAATATTCCAGCTGGTGAGCAAGCGAAAACATGTTGACATGATTTCGTAAGAATTTCGTTAACCGAATTGAAGATTCTTATAGAAGGTAATTCGTTAACCGTTCGTTAACTGAGGGATCACTGTAGTAAACTTTAGTATCCAGTAGTATAGTACAGCTCCTCCTGACTTACAACGGGTTAGGGACCCAATTCCAGGTCTTAAGTCAAAATGGTCGTAAGTCGAAAATGCTTAAATAATACATAGGAAATCTAAAATGGGTGTTTCTTTTCTTCTCCGCACCATCCTCACTTTTAAGCTTGCCAGCCATTTTAAAGTGAATTACAAATCGAAAATTTTGTCCGTACACAGCGCAATCACTGACTTTGGGACTCGAAAATACGTAATTTGACTAAATTTTGGTACGACTGAGGCGGTCGTAAGTTTGGGTGGTCGTAAGTCGAGTAGGTCATAAGTTGGGGAGGAGCTGTATAGTATAATATAGTATATTACAGGTATAGTATAGTACAGTATAGTGTCGTATAATATAGTATACAGTAATATAGTATAGTATAGTATAAAGTAGTATAGTATACAGTAGTATAGTATACTGTAGTATAGTATGGTATAGTATGGTATGGTATAGTATGGTATAGTATAGTATGGTATAGTAAGGTATGGTATAGTATAGTATAGTACAGTATAGTATTACCAGCTGGTGTACTTATAAAGAAGATTAATAGTGAGGAAGAAATGAAAGCTGAACATGTATACAGTACAGGTACTGTTAGAGTAATTTGAAAATGTTTAATTTGACCATTAAATGCTGCAGTGTGAATGTGCCCAAGTACATAAAAACAGTAAAATAATACAGTGATCCTTCGGTTAACGAGCGCCTCGGTTAACGAGATTTCGGCTAACAATTTACCTTCCATAAGACTCTCAACTTCGGTTAACGAGCAATCCCTCGATGCGAGTTTTTTCTGAGTCGACCTCAACATGTTTTTAACTGCATTTGGCGGTCCAGCTGTAGTATTAGTCGCCAATACAGTAATCGGTTTTAGGGCTTAAATTCCTTACTATTTTAGTAAATATCAAGAAGTTATACTATTCAATAATTTTAAAAGTTTAATATTAATTTTTAGTCATTTTAACAATTATTAAACTTAATTGAAGGTAAGACACTAGTTTCCTGTGCCATCCAGCCTGGCAACACACCAAACAGGCGCCAGTCTCTCTCTCTTTTAGTGGAGAACCTCTTGCTTGAGACTCTCTTCAATTAAACACTTTTTCTGTGTTTGCATGCAAATTATTGGTCATTTGAAATTTAATTTACATATTGACAATATATAATGCAGTGCAGTGTTGATTTAAGGAAAATAATCTTGAATTAAACCAAGAGAACTAAAATTTTGTGGGTGAAATGGCACCATGGGGTGACTTCTCTTCCACCCCAATGCCTTCTCTTCTCCTTCTCCTCAACCCCATTCTAATTATCATCATCATCATCATCATCCAGGGCCTTCTACATACACACCTCAAAGTAAGTGTACTTTTCTACCTTTTTTTGAATTTAGGCAATTTTCGGTGAGCTGGAACCAGTACCCAAAAATCCATTGAAAATGGTTTCGGTTAACGAGTTTTTCGGTTAACGAGCAACCTGCTGGAACGGTTGTGTAACCGAGGGAACTACTGTACACATAAATGACTAATGATTGTAGAAGACATATATTTTCTATGCTTCTTGCAATTGATGATTTGCTACAAAGCTGTACAGTACCTAGTTCTCAATGTACCTTTTTTTTGTTTCAGATTATATCTTCATCTAAGCAAGAAGTACAGATCCCAGATGTGGACCAGCTTCTTGGAGAGTCCAACTCTGCTTTCACTTCTGCTTTGGTTACTAGTTCTCCCACTGTGTGTTCTTCCAGTCCCAGCTGGCACGTCGGCCAGAAGCATGGAAAATACGATACGTCCACGCCTCGTTCCAGTGCCACCAGTCCTAAATTTAACTTACAAAAAGTTTCTCCCCACGAACGAACCCAGCGTGGTAAAAGACAAAACCTGGATGGAAGTGATCATGGGGGAAAGTGGGGTCACAGTAGTGACATAAAACACAGTGAACAGAGACTTAGTCTTGGAGACTTCATTACTCCAGATGTGAAGATAGTAAATAGAAAGAAGAGTCCATTACATAGAGATAGAGTTAGTGGAGGGTGGTCACTTCGGCATCCAGACATACCTAAAACTTTAGACCTCAGTGATGAAGAGGCCTTTCCACTTGTAGGCAGCAGCACTCCCACGATAAACAACAGAAACGAAGAATAAACCCGACACGCATTCTGACGACTAATGCACGTCAGTCCAGCAAGAGTTCTCCATTCAACCATTGTGCGAAAGAAATATTTGGTGTTCCACAGAGTCACTCTACAAGTAGTCCATTTTTGACAAGTGAAGAAGGTAGCAAAACTATGGATGAAGAAAGAGAATTATGCAAGAGAGACTTAAAAGGCAAGAAAGTGTAGCTAAGATAATTAGAAGTGGAGAGTCGGGTAAAGTGTTACGTAAAGAATCTTCACCAAGCCAGGTTCAACCGAGACAGACAGATAAGGCTAACAACTACGTCCAAGCTTCTCCTGATCTAGTCACTAATAGGAACTGTCTTGATATTCTTGTTAAAATATATGCTGAACTGATATTATACAACATGACACCCAGTGTTATGGTAGAACTGTACTATCTCATGCAAATGCTGACAGTATGTGTGATTGTTGGCACAGAAGAAAGAAGTGAGCAAGTTGACAAATGTTACCTCAGCACTACACACAATTGTGTTTATTTTGCTACAAATGTACTTCTCTTGATATTAGACATTTTGAAACTTTTCGACAAAGGCACAATTAAACTTTTATCAGAAAATCCTCGTGTTCAACTATTTTCAGAGGAATTACAAAAACATCTTCTGGAATATCTTGAAAGTCCTCTACCAGCACCTGTCCTCAACCAGGCTCAAAAGTCACCTATTGGAAGTGTGTCTTTCCAGTCGGACACTGACAACAGAAATAACTTTCCCAGTGGGCAAGCATTTCACATTTTTCGGAAACAACGGGACATGTTTTATGAGGTATGGAAAATGCTTCTTTGTAAAAGGAAATTTTGACATTTGTAAAGCATTTTAAATTAAACCACTAATCTCAGAGAGGGGCACCTGTAAACTAACATTGCTTACTTATTATTTAATGTCATGTGTTTAGTGACCATACAACACTTGTAAATAAGTCTTTGATTTCAGTAACATATAAAGTTATTTTTGGCATATGAAGTTCTTCAAAAAGTGACCTGCAAGATTACCTACCAGTACTGTAGTCTGACACAGTCAACCTTTTATAATTGTGTAGAATGAATCTGTCTTTTGAGATCAATGCAAAGGTTGTACAGTAGCTGTGTACAGTTCCACACCCATGACCAGGTTGTACAGTCGCTGTATATAGTACCACCAGGTTATACGGTGAGTGGTCAGCAGGATGGGACAGTACTCCCTCAACAAGTACCGGTACACTTGACACAAATGCCTCGGCCATAAACTTGGAACTGTTACATCAAACCTTTACATTGTAATTGATTATGGTGTACTGCCAACACTTGTTTGTTACCTGTGGTGTACTGCCAACACTTGTTTGTTACCTGTGGTGTACTGCCAACACTTGTTTGTTACCTGTGGTGTACTGCCAACACTTGTTTGTTACCTGTGGTGTACTGCCAACACTTGTTTGTTTACCTGTGGTGTACTGCCAACACTTGTTTGTTACCTGTGGTGTACTGCCAACACTTGCTTGTTACCTGTGGTGTACTGCCAACACTTGTTTGTTACCCGTGGTGTACTGCAACACTTGTTTGTTGCCTGTCGTGTACTGCCAACACTTTTTGTTACCTGTGGTGTACTGCCAACACCTGTTTGTTACCTGTGGTGTACTGCCAACACTTGTTTGTTACCTGGTGCCCACACCTGTTTGTTACCTATGGTGTACTGCCAACACTTGTTTGTTACCTGTGGTGTACTGCCAACACTTGTTTGTTACCAATGGTATGCCAACACTTGTTTGTTACCTGTGGTGTACTGCCAACACTTGTTTGTTACCTGTGATGTGCCAACACTTGTTTGTTACTTATGGTGTACTGCCAACACTTGTTTGTTACCTGTGGTGTACTGCCAACACTTGTTTGTTACCAATGGTATACTGCCAACACTTGTTTGTTACCTGTGGTGTACTGCCAACACTTGTTTGTTACCTGTGATGTACTGCCAACACTTGTTTGTTACTTATGGTGTACTGCCAACACTTGTTTGTTACCTATGGTGTACTGCCAACACTTGTTTGTTACCTGTGGTGTACTGCCAACACTTGTTTGTTACCAATGGTATACTGCCAACACTTGTTTGTTACCTGTGGTGTACTGCCAACACTTGTTTGTTACCTGTGGTGTACTGCCAACACTTGTTTGTTACCTGTGGTGTACTGCCAACACTTGTTTGTTACCTGTGGTGTACTGCCAACACTTGTTTGTTACCTGTGGTGTACTGCCAACACTTGTTTGTTACCTGTGGTGTACTGCCAACACTTGTTTGTTACCTGTGGGTACTGCCAACACTTGTTTGTTACCTGTGGTGTACTGCCAACACCTGTTTGTTACCTGTGGTGTGCCAACACCTGTTTGTTACCTATGGTGTACTGCCAACACTTGTGTTACCTATGGTATACTGCCAACACTTGTCTGTTACCTGTGGTGTACTGCCAACACTTGTTTATTACCTGTGGTGTACTGCCAACACTTGTTTGTTACCTGTGGTGTACTGCCAACACTTGTTTGTTACTTATGGTGTACTGCCAACACTTGTTTGTTACCTATGGTATACTGCCAATACTTGTTTGTTACCTGTGGTGTACTGCCAACACTTGTTTGTTACCTGTGGTGTACTGCCAACACTTGTTTGTTACCTGTGGTGTACTGCCAACACTTGTTTGTTACCGATGGTATACTGCCAACACTTGTTTGTTACCTATGGTATACTGCCAACACTTGTTTGTTACCTATGGTTTACTGCCAACACTTGTTTGTTACCTGTGGTGTACTGCCAACACTTGTTTGTTACCTGTGGTGTACTGCCAACACATGTTGTTACTTATGGTATACTGCCAACACTTGTTTGTTACCTGTGGTGTACTGCCAACACTTGTTTGTTACCTGTGGTGTACTGCCAATACTTGTTTGTTACCTGTGGTGTACTGCCAACACTTGTTTGTTACCTGTGGTGTAATGCCAAACTTGTTTGTTACTTATGGTGTACTGCCAACACTTGTTTGTTACCTATGGTGTACTGCCAACACTTGTTTGTTACCTGTGGTGTACTGCCAACACTTGTTTGTTACTTATGGTATACTGCCAACACTTGTTTGTTACCTGTGGTGTACTGCCAACACTTGTTTGTTACCTGTGGTGTACTGCCAATACATGTTTGTTACCTGTGGTGTACTGTACTGCCAACACTTGTTTGTTACCTGTGGTGTACTGCCAACACTTGTTTGTTACCTGTGGTGTACTGCCAACACTTGTTTGTTCCATAAGAACATAAGAAAATTTGGAGTCTGCAATAGGCCGGTTGGCCTGTGCTTGGCAGCTCCTGTCGAGAGTTACTACCACTCTCTATCATCCATGAATTCATCCAGCCTCCTTTTGAAACTTTCCATCTTTCCAGCACTTACTACAAAGTTGCTAAGCTTGTTCCACTCGTCCACCACCCTATTTGTGAACCAATTCCTTCCTATCTCCCTCCTAAACCTAAACTTATCCAACTTAAATCCTTTCCTCCGAGTCCTATCCTGCTCGGATATTATAAGAACTTTATCTGTATCTCCTTTATTGATTCCTTTCACCGGCAAATACTTCTATCATATCTCCCCACACTCTTAGTCTTTCTAGGAATGCAAGTTAAGTTTCTTTAACCTATCCTGATATGGAAGGTTTCTATGTCCCGGAATCATTTTGTCATTCTTAGCACATGACTCTAGTGAATTGATATCCATTCTATAATGAGGGCACAAGAACTGAACCGCATAATCGAGGTCTGGCCTGACTAGCGCAAGATATAGTTGCAATAAAACCTCTGCACTCTTATTACTTACACTTCTAGATATAAAACCCAATACTCTGTTTGCTTATTTGAACATTAGCACTGTTTTCTAGGCGTGGGTCCGGCTTAGTACCCTAGGTCTCTTTCACAAGTCGACTTCTCTAGGTTGATGTTGTTAAGGCTGTATAAATTGACAGTATTTGTTCTTCCAATATAATGCAGCTGCACTTGCTGGTGTTGAATTTCATTTGCCATTTTCAGACCACTGCAGTTTGTTTAGATCCTCCTGTAATGCATTTGCATCCTGCCCTGAATTAATCTGCGCCCCTATTTTGGTGTCATTCGCAAACTTGCTTATGTCACTGCTGATCCTAGTATCTAGATCGTTTATGTAGATTATGAACAAGAGTGGGCCGAGTACTGTGACCCCTGGGGAACCCCACTGGTTACACGGCCTCACTCAGATTTAACACCATCTACGCTGACCCTCTGCGTTCTATCGGTGAACCATGATTTTATCCAATTTAAAACTTTCCCGTCGATACCATGAGCCTTAATTTTTCTCAGAAGTCTCTGATGCGGTACTCTGTCAAATGCTTTGCTAAAGTCTAAGTAAATAACATAGTAATTTTCGTCATTATCTACTACCTCGAAGACTTTCCTAAAAAACGTCAGCAGATTTGTTAGACAAGATTTTCCCTTTGTAAACCCATGTTGAGAGTCGTAGATTAATTGGCTTTTCTCTAAATGCGATCGGATGCTATCTGCTATAATTGATTCAAGAAATTTCCCCACTACTGACGTCAAACTGATCGGCCGGTAATTTGACGCTGATGCTCTGTCTCCCTTTTTGAATATGGGTACTACATTTGCCTGTTTCCACAAGTCTGGCACAACTCCCGTGTCTAATGATTTTGTAAATAAATTTACAAGGGGTCCGCTAATCTGTTCCCTACACTCTTTCAAGACTCGAGGGAAAATTTCATCCGGCCCTGGGGATTTTGTCTTCTTTAGTTTATTTATCTTCTTAAGAACATCCTCTTTTCTGATAGTGATATTCTTTAATTTCTCTTCTTCCTTTCCCTTAAATATCAGTTCCACCTCTGGAATTTCATCGCAAATTTCTTCTGTGAAAACTGATAAGAAGTAGCTGTTCAATGCTTTGCTTATTTCTTCACTGCCATTTATCAATTCTCCCTCCCTACTTTAACCCTTTGGATGCGGCATGCGGGTAAACCCGCCCAAAATATTATATTAATTAAATGCGACAAGCGGGGATATCCCACGGCCTTGAAAAAACTTCCCCAAATGAGACGACATGCGGACATATTATGTATTGAGGTATAGGAGTATTTCCTGAATGCAACATAGCTTATTTTTGTACTATTTTGTTTGATATTATCTGAATATGTAATACATATCTAAATTTGCTGTTTAGTAACCAAATTGATTAAATATATTTGCCATATACCAGACATTGATGTATACCAATTTCCTGCATTTTTGGGTATAAATGTCATTTTTTCTCTAAAATTTGCACACATATGTGAATTTTTGTTCCAGATTTGGAAAATATACTAAAAGTTCTCTAGGAAAAACATATAGAAAATGTGATTATATGAAATTCATTTTTGGCAGGATAATTGACACTTTTCAGGAACCGGCGCGAAATTTAATTACGCACCTAAAGGGTTAAAGGCCCAACTTTGTCCTTGACCTTTGTCCTATATACCTGGAAAAATCCCTTGGGATTCGTCTTGGATTCTCTTGCTATTTTGATTTCATAGTCTCTCTTTGCTTTCCTTACATTTTTCTTAACATTCCTAGATAGTTCATTATACCTATTTCTGAGCTGCTCCTCCCCTCCCTTTAATTTCTTATATATTCCTTTCTTTATTCCTATGTCATGTTTAAGTTTTCTGGTCATCCACCTTGGCTCATTCTTATTTGACCTAATGTGTCTGTATGGTATATTTTGTTCCTGTGCTTTATGT